CGCCCGCCGCGCTGCAGCCCCGTGGGCGGCCCGGGCCCTCCGAGGCGTTGTTCCCGTTCTGGTTCCACTCCCAGGGACCCCCGGAGGCGCGGAGGTGCTTCACCGGCAGCTCGGGCGTGGACTCCGGGGTGGGCAGGCAGGCCAGCTCCGGGCCCGGGGGTCCCCCGCCCTCGGGCGGCGGCAGGAAGGTCGTGTAGAGCTGTGGCGTCGGCGCGGCGGCGGCATCTCCATCCTTGGGCGGAGGCGGGGGCTCAGGACCGCCACCGTGCAGCCGGGCCAGGCTGCGGAGGGAGAGAGGGCGCGGCAGCCCCGGGGTCTCGATGTCCTTGCTCCGACGGCGGTGCGCGCGACGACAAGCGCAGGACACCAAGAAGCCGGAGACGGAGGCGCCCAGGGCGAAGGCGGCCGCCACGCAGGCCAGGAGGAGTGGGATGGGGATGGAGCGGGAGGCTGAAGATGGGGGAAGGTCCCTGCGCACGCCTGCCGACCAAGAAGGAAGGGAGGGAGGCGGCTCAGCTTTAGGGGAGGCAGCGGCCGCACAGAGCGGGCACAGGTGGGACCCACAGCAAGTTCTCATGCTGCTGCTCAGCTTCACTGCACACAGCCTCGGGAGTCACTTTTCCAGGGTCCCTAAACACACAGGCTGGAGCACGGGCCTGGGGTACCCCCTGCCCAGTTTCAGCCCCCTATAGCCATGCCAAGAACATCTGCCAGACTGCCTGTGAAGGACACTGGCTGGGATGTCCAGCTGTGGTGAAGGGAGGTTCCGAACAGGCGTTAGTAGGTATCAAACACCAATCAGCACCCGGCTTAGAACTCTCAGAGACTCAGCAGTTCCACACTGCACTGTCCCCCTCCCAGGCAACCCCCTTACCCTGCGTGTGAGCTCCAAGAGTGGAAGACTGGGGCCCTGGGTGAGCATCACTGGGGGAACTGGGGATCTCAAGGGAAGGGCCAGGACCCAGAAGCACTGGTAACAGAGACCAGGTCAGAGCCAGTCAGACTTAAGCTCTGCACCCCTGACACCGCCAAGCCCCTCCCCTTTGGAACCCAAGAGTCCAGAGTTCCAGTGTCTCGCTTGGTTGTTCAGGGTGCTGGCCTGCCCAAACAGATTTGGTGGTGCGGGCTAAGCAAGGGAAAGAGAAACTGAGGCTGGAAGACTCACCATAAGCAGAATCTCCAGGGCCGGACTGGCTCCCAGTAGCTCCATCTGTGAGACAGGGTGAGAATGAAGGAAAGGGGGAGCTCCTGAAAACCTGACGGAGGTAACTGGTACAGATGCTCAGAAGGACAGGTGCCCAGGCCTGAGATGTTGTTGGCAGCCATCAGAGCCATATGCAACCTCAGCTGCGGCTGCCCCTTGCGTTTACCTTGGCAGTCACCATGCTCCATGGATTCCTGGTTCCCAGTCACATCCATATCAGTCCTAGAAGGAAAGGGGGTGCTCACTGTGGCTCTACACTTTGCCAAACACACCCCTCAGGAGTCCCAGGGGCTCCTCACTTACCCACCAGGTCCCCCGATAGTCACACAGCCTTTCAACCGATGCCAGCCACAGTATGGGTCCTGAGAAGCCAGACAGCTCCTAAGGGGAACTGAGTTGTGTGAGGCTGGCACCCCTTCCCCTTGCCATGTTCCATTCCGTTCCCTTTTCTACCCCCACCCCTGGCTTACAAGAAACCCCCAGCCCCAGATTTCCATCCATCTATCCCAATCTGCTCCAGACCATAGTTGCTGCCCAATTTCAGACTTCCCAAGGTACCCCACCCTCTCCTCCACCATCTCCACTTCCTGGCTACCCTCAAGACCTGGGGGTTTTTCTGTGCTCCTACTAGTCCCGGAAGCATAGCCAGGCAGCATCTGACCTTGGCTCCTCACCTCCGACATGCCCCATGCCGGGCACAGCGGCTGAGTGGGAGGTAGACGATACAGCCAGGAAAGGCCACAAAGAGCCTGTGACCCTCAGTGTCCAGCTCCAGCCCGATGATCCGCCGTGCAGCTCGGGCTGAGCGCTTCCCACCGCACCTAACGGGAGGTGGAGAAAGCGAGACTGGTTTCCAGAACAGTCTATGGTGGAGAAGAAGCACCAAGTGGACCCCCGAGCACCACCTATGGAACCATCCTACCCAACACAGTGGCGCTTTCTCACCAAACCCTTTTCCTACCCCCCCAGGCCTCTAATTCTGCCAGACCAACACTGGAGTCCCCAACCTAGCATCCCCATCCCCACCCCCCACCCCTGCCCGGCAGGGACCCGCCCCCACCAAGAACTCACCGGGCAGGGCTGTAGGCATCGATCTCTTCCAGTATGATAGGCTCAGGTCCCAGAGACTGTCCCCCTGGAGGTAGCACCTTCAGCACCGTCCCATCATGGGAGCCAAGAAACAGGACTGTGGTGTTTCTGTGGGGCCCGGCCTTGCCATCCACGGCCACCTGGGTCAGCAGGGCTCTGGGGCGACAGGCTTCAGGTGAGGACAACAAGTCTAGACAGCCCGGATGCCCTGGTCCCCACTCTTCTATCCCTTCACAAGTCCCACCCCCACGCCAATGTGATTTATCTCGTGGAAGACGGGCGTGGGCGGAGGGCGGGAGGCGGTGATCACCTGCTAGTGAGAGTGAGGAGGGGCTGATGGGTGGCAGGTGGCACAGCAGGATCCAGCAGTGGATGTGCCTTGATGAAGAGCAGGACATCATCAGGTAGGTCTTGAGAGGAAGAGAACAAGGCAGCTCCACCCACACCTGCACAGGACCCTGGCCTGGTGGGCACATGGGAAGGGGCAGCCTTAGGGTAGAGAATGGGGGTTAATTAAGCTGTGTAACCCCCCCCCCTGCTCTCAAGCGTGGCTGGTAACCTCTGCTCCCCTGCAGACACACACCGCTTCCCTTCCCTGCCGCAGCGCCTCAGTCCAACCCGGCGCTAGCCTCGTCCCTGGGCACGGTGACCTCAGCCCGCCTCACTCCGCCCCGTGACGGCCGCCCCCGTCCCGGGTACCTGGGGGAGGGGACTCTGTCCTCAGACACAGGAGCCCAGGCCCCATCCAGGCTCCTCTGCTCCTTGAACTTGCCCTCAAACCCGCGCTCAACATCATCCAGGTAGAAGGCGCAGACTGCAGACCCAGGAATGCTGAGGGAGCCAGAAGAGACTCAGGTAGGTGTCACCAGGGACTGCACAGCCCC